TTATAATTAGATATGAAAGTAGATTTTAAGATAATCCTAAGAATTTTTTACAACAAAATTACATGTTATGATAAAATTTTGAGGTGTGCTTTAATTGGATGGTTAAGGTTGCGAACTTATAGAAACTGCACCTTTTTGCAAATAATTGAAATTGGAGATAATGAAGAAATGCTTTGATAGAACTTGCTAAAATCGAATATTATAATATACCCATCTCCTGTTTTCAATTTTGCTGATCTTAATTGTATTGAATCTTGGTAGGTATAATCCACTGGGCCTTCCTGGGCTCATCTCTCTCACTTTCTTTCTCTCCTGAGAGTGCAGTTATATCATTAGCAGAATTTCAAGAAAGGAAAACTGGAAATCTAAAACGTGCAATTTCTGTTCTCCCAGGACCTTCTGTGCAGAAATAGCTCACAACGTTTCGACATTGAAGAGGAAAGGCATTGTGGAACGGGCAGCTCAGTTGGACATAGCCGTGACGAACAAACTTGCAAGGTTGCGCAGCCAGGAAGATGAGTAGAGTGATGATTCATCAGCTAGGCGAAGGGGGCTCCTTTGCTTTATTGTAGTTATATTTCATTTGTTGATCAATTGGAGATTTCTACTTAAGCAGTTTTGTTTCCATTTTTCTTCTTAAGAACTACATCTTAGCGATTTCATTAGGTGCTTTGTTATTTCAGCCTTTGTGGATTGAATATTTACAATTACAATCTTTCTTTAAATGAAATGTACGTTGTTATTTCAGCCTAGAGGATTGAATATTTAGATACTAGCAATTACAATCTTTCTTTAAATGAAATTGCTCATAACATTTCTGACCCTTTTGAGGATTTGAGCATGTATGAGAAATATGGGGAACTACATTCAGTGTGTGTGTGTGAGAGAGAGAGAGAGAGAGAGAGAGAGAGAGAGAGATTCAAATTTAGGGCTAGCAAGAGAACCTATAGGGGAGATTGCGTAGTTATACTCCTGGGCATCAACACTGTATGTGAATGATAGATGTCTAAGTGAAAAAGCATGGCAACCGTGTAAAACCCAAGTAACCCTACTAAAAATCCTGCAACATTTGTCATAACATTGTTGGGGAATAACAGGTGGTTGTTCACAAAAATATGAGAAATTTATGCACATTGTTATAAGTATATCTTTGAATTTAAGGGCGGAAATGGGTAGGTGGCCCTGCCCTTAAAGACTAAGACCTAGGGCACAAAATATGGCCTGAGGGCTGGGCCAGGGTCATGACAGGGGCAGGCCTGGTTTAGCTTGGCCCTCAATTTTACTTAATGTGTTTTTTTTTTTTTAAATTTCTCTAGACCAGCCTTGCCCACTTTGAGAGGGTTAGAGCTGGATTTGGAAGAGGGTGTCGCCCGGTTGGCCTATTTAAATTTTGTGTTTTTTTTGACGTTCATGTTTTTTTTTTTTTGTTCTTTTTTTTTTAGAACTGTTCATACCTTTTTTCCAAAATGCTGGTGCTTCAGACGTACAAGGATTAAAGTGACAACTTCTAAGCAAGATACAAAAGTCTTCGGCTCTTAAAGGTCCGAAGGGGACTCGAGAGAGGCTATTTTAGGGGCTTCAAGGTCTGAAATCCAATGATTTCAGAAGTGTAAGTGAAGCAACTTCGGACATTGAAGTTCCATAGTAAACGGATTTCAGAACTTCAAGGTCCAAATTGTAGTAAAAAGAGGTGAATGCCATGAAGTAAAAAGAGGATAATGCCGTTTGTGGTGCCATGCAGTAAAAAGAGGACAATGCCTGTGAAAAGAAATTCTAAGGAGAACGCGAGAAAATATATAAGATGCAGTAGGAAGGGAGAGAAGCATAAACTGGAATATGGATCACTCTTGCTTTCCAACAACTTAAAAAAAGGTGGAATGTATACTTAGCAAGAAAAGAAAGAGTAGCAGATTGTGGATCTAAGGAAGTAAAATATTAAAAAAGAAAAAATAGGCCAAATCATGTGTAAGTTACATGGACCATAGTATAGTTTCTTACAATAGAAAGCTTAGGATATTGTTGGTGTGGGTAAGGATATTAAAGGCCAAAAATACAAAAAGAGTAGCTTGATATATGATGGGTACATGGACCTATATGATATTCTTTCACACAATAATAAGATACATAATATTGTCAAAAAAAGAAAGAAAAAAAAGATACATATGGCACGGTGACATGATATCATTCCTCTAATATATAATATATGCTTTCCTAAAATAACAAAATTCGTTTTCCAAATGAAAAAAACTTATATAAGGGCGAGGCCCTAAACAATCAAATTAAAGCACACCTCAAAAAACTCATTAGAAATGGTTGTTTCGATTCTCAAAAATCCTCATATCGATCATCTCACCCTCAAGATAATTTTCAAGATTTTCAAGTGTTCGCAGATTTGTTCAAACTATACTATTTTTTAAAGTTTAAATTTTATAAGGGTGCGGTTTCTATAAGGTTGCAACATTAAACAATCCAATTAAGGTGCACCTCCAAATTTTATCATAACATGTAATTTTGTTGTAAAAAATCCTTAGTATTATCTTAAAATCTATTTTCATATCTAATTAGAAAATTGTAAACTCCAAAAATGGTTAAAATCAAGGAGATCTATAAACATATGGAAATCTTGAAAATGGACGGTCTGGATAATATGTTGCAAGATGCACTATTCCATAGACTCAATTTTTTTATTTTTTTTATATTCATACATCTTGATGTCGAGGTGATCAAATGGATGATTTTTCATCATTAAAACAACCTTTCCGATAGATTTTTGAGGTGCACATGTAATTCTACATTTGAAGGTTGCAACCTTATTAAAACTTTTCCCTTTTTATAATTAAAGATGAATATAAATTTTCAGGCAATCATAAAGATTTTTAATATTAAAATAATATTTTTCAATGCTATTTAAAGATGCGCCTACTTTGATTGTTTAGGGCCTCAGCCTTGCACAAACCACATCTTTTTCCCAAAACAATAAAGTACATAAAATAATCTTTTTCCCGAAACAATAAAGTACGTATAATAATATTTTTCCCAAAACAATAAAGTACATATTATAAAAAACAAAAACAAAATTGGTTGTTTAAGGCCTCAGCCTTTGATTGTTTAGGGCCTCAGCTTTGCACAAACCACATCTTTTTCCCAAAACAATAAAGTACATAAAATAATCTTTTTCCCGAAACAATAAAGTACGTATAATAATATTTTTCCCAAAACAATAAAGTACATATTATAAAAAACAAAAACAAAATTGGTTGTTTAAGGCCTCAGCCTTATACAAAAACCACACCGTTTTTTCCGTTCCGAAAACAATATAGGACATATAATAATCTTTTTCCCAAAACAATAAAGTGAAACGGATACACGCTTCTTTGGTGGTGCTGCCCAGGTTCGAACTGGGGACCTTTAGTGTGTAAGACTAACGTGATAACCGACTACACCACAGCACCCCTGGATGCTTATTTACGGCAAGTAAATAAGAATACCAATATCTCTTTGCCCTTGTTATTAGAGACTTTCAGTATTGATTTCTTTAGGGGCGATGGACACTGGATGTCATGAAAGTCTAAAATTTAACAGAAATTCAAGCGAAAGAAACAATACAGAAAGCAGTTTGGAAAGATTTTGCCTTGAATCACCAAGAACAAAGGAAAATAAATGGCCAGAATCATATGAAACGTGATTTTTTAAACCAAATTCATATTCTTGATTTTACAAATTTAGTATGAAGAAGTTAATTAATTGTTCAGGATATTAAAAATCAAGGTACCCTGGTTTCAATTTCACCTGATATTCTTAATTTTACCTAGAATTATCATGAATTGGATTCTAGTTCTTGGGAGTCTTCACAGGTGATCCATTTCAAAGAATACTGAAATTGCATTCTCTCTCTCTCTCTTTCTTTTACCTCTCTCTCTTGTTCTTTTGGTGGTTTTTTTCTTCTTTTGGAGAACTACAGGATATTTCGAGTCTCACAAAATAGCTTTCCAAAACCAGTTAAGATACTAGCGTTGGCTCAACAGTTATCTGTATTCTCAGCTTAACCACCACAAACATTAAAACTGAGACAAAATAAAAACAGTGGCCATGCCACACAACTCCTGTTTAAAGAACATTGAAACTTGAGGCTTATTTCTTAATTTCATAGGAAGTTACAGATTTATATTCTATTCGACCATAAAAGGATAATATGTTAAGGGCAGACTGCACAAAATTGCAGACATAATTTAACCACCCACCAAATATCATAAAAAGCTTAACCATTGTTGAAGCAATCGTAATAAATAGATCATTTACCAATGATCCCTGCACAAAACCCCGAGGGGGGGCAGCGGGAAGAGAGAGAGATCATCACATAAGGGCAACGATCTAATAATCTGGGAAAAAGGTTATCTGTAATACCCCAGTACTCCAAGCCATCCAAAAACAATGAAATGATGACAAAAGAAAGTGACATAGGATCAAGTATCAATTACCAAGAAACCGTAATGTTATGTACATCCTTCAAATGTGTCATCATAAATATCAGCAGGCTTAAGTTACAGAAAGGTTACAAATATTTACAACAGCTTAAATCCGCAAATACATGGAACCCACAAACAAAAATTTACAACAACTTAAACCCACAAACTGTAATGTTATGTACATCCTTCTTGATTTGATTTGGAGCTCCAATTCAGCCAATAAGGACATGAGGATTTGAACCTCCAGCCTTTCCTCTGGTTCAAATGAAGAAGTTATGATACCCGACATGAAGAATCCAAGCACCCTCAAATGCTGCAATCATCAGAGTAAGGATTAGCACATGCGAATGGCTATTGTTTATATTCATACAAGGGAAAGCATACAAAATTCTAATAGAATAGACCATGCAAACCATAGTTCATGTTGCCGTTACTGTCAGATGGCATGATGGATGATTATGACAAAAGAGTGGGACCCATCATTGGGGTCATATAATGTCCTTGTGGGTCCCACCTCTTTCCATCGGCATTCACTGGTTCATTGGATGGTGATGACCACAGTGGATTATGGGTTCCATAGTTGGATTTTAGCACAAGTAAATAATGGTTTTCAATATTTAGAATTTTGGATTATATGGTTTTCCAAATTTTTTCCTTAAAAAAATGACTAAGAAAACACGGAGAATTTTTTTTCACATCTCAATGCTTACCTGACCTTCTAAAACTTGATGTATAATTTATTATTTAATTATTCATAAAATACTAAATATCAAAAGAACTTGAATAAACTACGGTTGATATATGAACTTACTTTGAGAATCCTTTATACTACAAACACATGAACGCCATCCTATTCATCACTCAAATAATTATTACTTGCGATATAAATCATCTCCATCTTCTCCTCGTCCAAGTATCCCCGCGTAGGTATGACTTCCAAGTAATTCTAAAAATTTTATTCACACAGTCTCTGGCCGTTGGTGACACTGTCCTTCATCCTCCTCACACCGTTTGCAATGCATTGGAGACCACACGGCGGAAAGATACAATATTACTATTTCCTTATTCCAAACGGAAGCTTGTATCCTATGAAGTACCTCTTTTCAAAATCCTGACCTCCATGGCTTGATCCATTGCAAACACTCAACCTAGAACATATTCAACTTCCTTCTAAAGTTCTAGTATACACATACATCACACTCATCAAGAAGGCATTTTTAAAAGCAATTTCAGCAAAATATCTTTCATAGAAGCAATGTAATTGACCATTGGTAATGAAGTTTCCTGAAACTTCTGGTACAGACCAGGACAAACATTGCATTGTGTAGTTTCCTTGAAAGTTCATGCTCAAGGCCTCAAACCACCAGTCTCAATCTGAAGAGGAAAATGGCTTAGAATAACATGTAAAAGAGAAAAAACTCTCAATAGTAAAACCACCAAGAAGGTCACCATCAATGCTACTTAAATAGAACACAAACTGGGGACAAAAGGTTCACAGACATAAATCATGAGCTATTCCCTGCAATAATACAATATTCATTGATACCTCACCTAAATATATCAAGGGATCTCTCAAGAGGATCAAAACCGGTGCCTTGACGAATAACCTCACCAGCCAAATATGGCATAACACTAACTAAAAGTGCATTTTCACAAGATACTTGGTAGTCTCAACCACAGAATGATCTGAAGAGAGATCTCAGGTGCGGATGAAGTTGCAGGGCACGTAGGACCACCAAACGGGATTGTGAGAATTGTAGTGACTGACTGGATTTTTTTTTTCAATACCTTGGTGAGAATGGTGATGATTGACCCGAGTACTGTGAAACGCAGGCAAGCCAGCCCAAGTTTCACAATACTCTGTGCCGGGCTTGGCCTAGTAACTCACCCAAATCGACGTCGACTCAGGCGAGAGCACTGAAGGAGACCATAACAACATTTCAATACTTTTCTTCATGTTAGCGTTGTAGAGTCACAAAGCAATTTTAACAGACCTAGGTCTTCCAAAACTTAGGCAGCTTGATACTTTTTTCTATTGTATCCGTCCCTTGGAAACACACTGCACTTTTTTTCGTTTTAGAGAACTTTAACCCTAATACAAGGATAGCTGTAACTTTTAGTCATAAATAGGTTTTCTTTTTCTTTTTCATTTCTGTATCTCTCATTTTTTCCATTCATTTTCAATTCATCAAAATTTTCTTTTTCTGGATTGGACAAGACTAACAGAGTGTGAGTCAACTTGCCCAGATCTTTGCTGAGTTTTCTAAGCTTAGAGCCAAAAATTGTAATACAGGACACAAAAACAAAGCAACCTGAAGTAAAACGAACAAGTTTAAAAGCACTAGCTCCTATGTTCTTAAATTTTCATTATGTGAGGTAAATAAAGTGCAACAGGATTTGTGATTGATAAAGTGCCAATGTGAAATAAATAGCCAATTGAAACTTTAAACTAAAACAACACAAGAATAGCGATACTAACTATATTATGAATGCAAGCTCAAATTGGTATGGCAACGAGACAACTGTGACATATTGTCCCTTTAGTCTAGACCCTGAAGCCTTAAACAATGACCTAGAGCCACAGTTTGAGGTCATGGTGCATGACTGGAATGTGACATATTAGGCCAACTGGAGATAGTCGTGTCATGCCATAGCAGTAGCATCAGAACTCAGACGGTGCCGAAGGAGATGGATGATGTCATTCATCTTGGATCTATTTGTGTGCCATAGTCACTCAATTGGACAAAAGAAGCCACGAGAGAATAATTCTATGAAACAAAGTTATCATATTCTATTTTACCATTTGAATTCCTAACCCTTTTCAAAATTGTTGTGGTAAGTGGTAACTTCACTGGATTGCAATACTGCTTTTAGTTTGAAAGATGTCTTTCAATTCAATATAAGAGACATGTTCTACTTGGACTTTTGGGTGTCAAATGCGAGCGTCTTGAAAGTCCAAAGACTCCCCATGTTCAAAATTCTGCCAAAAAGGATGCATTATAGACATACCAGGCGTAATAGGATCCCAGGAAACTGAATCCAACCCCTTCTCTTTGAAATGTAAACCCCCATAAACAAATGCCGAATAGCTGAAACGCATCATCCATCAATGACTAGCTTCACCTTATCTACTTCCTGCAATTGGCTTGAGACACTCACCAATGCTGATCTTACCCTGGAAACCTCAAAGGCTTAAAAGATAGGAGTTTGACCTTGTAGATTCAACTGGCCTAGAAAGTATGTCTTCAGTGGGTCAATATAATTCAACCATCTATTACAGGGTGCTTTGAATTTAGGAGAAAGTATCACTTCTTAATCTATCGTAGTTAATCTTCACATCTGTATTATATGGCAAGTAAATCTATAATAAACTAATCATTCAAAGGAAAGGAATACTAAAATATAAAGTGCTATTCGGAGTCATCATAGCAGTATGCTTCTAGACATCCACATATTCTGTATCGAGAACCACTCCAATGGTGACAATAAAAATATTAAAAAAAAAAAAAATTGGAAAAGAAAACGTCATTGATTTAAAAGGGAACTTCACCATCATCACCCAGGCCTTATCCCAACTATTCGGCGTTAACTATATGAATCTTGTTCTGCCATTCTGCTCTATCAAGGGTCATACCCTCAGTCAGACCAAAAGTCACTATATCTCTTCTCACTACTTCCATTTATGCCTTTTTGGGCCTTCCTTTTGCCCATTTAGAGCTTTCCCCTTGAACCAAACCGCCCATCCTAACCGATGTTGCTCTAAGTCGACGGTGCACATGGCCATACCATCTAAGTCTGCTTTCCCTCATTTATCGGTTATTAGAGCTATCCCTAAGTTCCCTCGGATGTGTTCATCCCAAATACTATCTTTTTTTGTTTTGTCACTCATCCATCTCAACTACACTCATTCTATACACATGTTGTTTCTTGACTGTCCAACATTCCGTTCCATAAAACATGATTGGTCTTACAGCCATCCTAGAGAACTTCTAATAAAAAAAGGAAGGCAAAGAAAAGAAGAAAAACTATTGCACCTTAGAACATAACTAATGAGACGGAATTAGAAACACTACCAGATTTACTATTCTGATTATTTTCATAGCCCAAAAACCAAATCAATTAAAGAAGCATTAAATGTTGAATGATAGTAAATGCATAAGCCAAAATAAAAGGAAATCATACAGGAAGCATTATCAATTTGTCACTAGCTAGAATTTGGTGACATACCTTTTCCTCCAGATGATGCGTCCACCCTCAGAATAAAAGAAAATGGTTGCCTCACAATAAAAGAACCTAGGTCAGGTCAAACATGCTATGTTATTCACAATGATCGCTTTTTTACCCCAGCCAAGCAGTGAGATCCTAATATTCAGGTGGTAAATGCCGCCTCTTCCAGTGGTCTGAATCTCTCGTCCTTGACCATTGATCTTCATCACGAAGTTGCAGGGATTTGATATGAGACCTCGAATTGTGCCTGCTATCCCACTCATCCCTGTTCTCCAACTCTTGGTACCTTTCTCTTTCCTCTCTTACAGGAGCCTTGCCCAACCTCTGTTCTCTCTCTTCTTGGCCCCTCCTATCCAAAACCCCTTTTCGTTTCATGTCTCTCTCCTTAGCAACATATCGATCATCCCATTGTTCTGAACTATCCCATTGCCTTCTCTCCGAACTTCCTGACCATTCACCCTCTGAACCCACTTCTGTCTCTCTCAACAACTTCCCCGACCTGTCCATTTCAGACTGCCAGTTTCTGCCTCTCGAAAAATCAGGCATCTTACCTCTTGCATGGCTCCTTTCACCATACCCATGATTGGGTCCAGCTTGTTCCGCATAACTTGGCTCTTCCATTACCCATTCTTGCCCTTCTCCCAACAAAGTATCCATTCTTTGACTAGACCACATCCCCATTGCCCCACCATGCTCCATCCCACTGTTTACAGGCAAAACCATCGCACTACTCCCCATTCCATGACCAAGAAATGCAGGGTTTAAGCGTGCAGCTACTCTTGGAAAACTGATATTGCCAACCCCCTGAAATGTTGCTGGATATGGAGGCTGAGAAGCCATTAAACCACCTCTGAAACCTAGCCTACCCAATGGTGCACCAAAATTTGGATCAAAAGCTTGAGTCACCATAAAATTTGGTGGCATATGTGGCTGAGAGAGGTTTTGGCCAAATCCCATTACGCCTCCAGTTCCAGTTGAACCCCCAACTCCACCCATTGTTCCTCCAGTCCTGCGGCCTCCCATTAAGCCTCTATTCCCTCTCCCAAAACCCACATTCAAAGACCCACTTCCAGTTTGTGCCTGATAATTGGAACCCATGTTTCGATTTCGATCTTGAACATGGTCTCTTCTAAATTGAGAATGTGATTGAAAAGGGGCTGTGGCATTCTTGTTCATTCGAGTCTCCCCCATTCGCCTTATGCTCTCAGGTGAGGCTCGAACCACCACACAAGGACGACCATTAAATAGGTGACCGTTCATTCCTTCTTGGCACGCTAAGGTTGAATTGGGGTGGTGGAATTCAACCTGGCAATAGCCCTTTGATTTGCCAGCTGCCCTCTCTTCGAAGAATTTCAATTCTTTCACTACCCCATACTTTGATAATTCCCTCTCTAGATCCGCATCAGTTGTCCACCAATGCAAATCACCGATATAGAGTGTTGTTCCCCCACCAACTGTGTCCCCGCTTTCGTTATTCCCGATTAAATTGCCCACTCGTGGTCTCTGTAAAATCTCCATCTTATTGGGTTCACTCAAAATGGGTATGTTTTGTTCTGGCGGATTGTCTCTCCTAGTGGGTTCTTTCAAAATGTGTTCGTTGCCACTAGGTCCTTCCCTCTGTAAATTCTCTGTCTTAATGGGTTCTTTCAAAATGGGTTCGTTGGGCCCAGGACCAAGTCTCTGTAAATCCTCTCTCCTAATGGCTTCATTGGTGTGAAACCCTGCACCTATGCTTTGATAACCCATTTTCACACTCCCAATATTCTCCATTGAAATTCCTGAAACACCCACCAAATTCTCAACAGTTCTCTGTTCTTGTTTTGAAGAACCCACTAAATTTCCGAGGGTTTTGACGTCCCTTTGGGATACAACTGAGATTTTCTCGTGAATTTCTTGTTTCTGAAAATTTCCCATTGATGGGTTATTTGCTACAGTGTTTTTAACTTTCTCTAATGCGTTATCACCGCTTTGTTTCTCAAAAGATCCAATAAAATTCTCCGAAATATTAACATCACTGTATAAGTCTTCGAATTCTTCACCAAAACCACCATCTTCTGCAACTGCAGATATGGCTTTTTCTCCTGGTTCTAATTTAGTACCTTCACCTTCTTTTTCATCCATTTTTCTTCTTTGGTATCTTTGGATCAGGAAAATAAATACAGAAAATGCATAATATAGTAAATAATTGAATGTAAAGATGAAAAGAACTCAAGGTTTGTGTAATGGTACCTCAATAGCAGATGAAAGGAAGAGTTCAAATTTTTTTTAAAAAAACATGGGGCGCTTTCTAGTTTATTGTGGAATTCTCTCTCTACTCCGGTATGGTAGCGCTCTCTCTCTCTCTACTCTGGTTATAGTATCTCTCTCTCTGGAGTACAACTAAGGTCTTTATCATCTTCCTCTGCAAATCATCCAGAATGTGTAATGGAAGTTAAAAAAAGGAAAATACCCATCGATTCCTAATAAATTACTTCAGTGTTCATTCAAGAAAGAAAATGACATGGATACCCTTATTTTCTGAAATTACCTAACACATAATTTCTCAAGCATTACGAATATAACCCCAAATATTTTAAATGAGTTTCAATATATTCCATTGAATTTTGCCAATAAGTCTTTGTGTGAAGCGGTCCACGGGTCTAAGAATCGGGTAATCTAAATCACTTTCATCTAGCTAAAAAATTTGTAAAAAAAATAAATAATAAAGGTAAAAAAAAAAAAAGAAAGAAGAAGAAAAAAAAAAAAAACTAGAAACACGAGAACAAGAAAAATTGAATAGATTGTCTTCCCTATTTATGATATATTTGTTGATGATTTAAATTTAAATAATCAACATATTATAAAGGAGATGCATATAATGAGATATTTACTTTTTGTTATAAGGAGATCAAAATCGTTATTGATCGTTAAATTAAATATTGAAGTGGTTAAAGATTGATCATTGGTTGGGTGTAAAGTCCAAAATAAAATTCTTCCAATATTATTATACACTTTTATCTATTAAAAAAATAGTTTGCCTATATGAAAAAACCAATAATGCATTTTATCTTAATTTTTGAAATCATATATTCATAATTCTTTCTTTCAAAACGTATAAAATATTGGTAAAATTATAAAAATATCTGTTTTATTTTCTATTATTATGAAAATACTTAATAATTTTTGTTGTTACAAATATGTCTGTTTTTCAACTCCATAACATTTTTTTAAAAAAACAAAACTATCCATTTTCGGTTTTTGAAAAATTGAAATTTAAAAAAGATGGATTCACTCAAACTCCAAGAGAAATAAAATTGTTTAGAGAGAGAAACTATGAAAGAAGATGAGAGAGAACAACAAATGAAGAAAAAATGGTAGAGAGATAAAGAGACCAACCCATAGAGAGAGACCCACGGTTAACTAGGAAGGAAGACAGATCCCACTTCGACCTAGAGATCAATTCTTGCTCATCAAACTGGAGGTGGATTGAATTGTCTTACCTCTTTCCATCTCCAAGCATATTCTAAGCATTGGCTTTTGTTCTTTTTGGGTGAAAACGTAATGGGGTTCTTATCAAAAAAAAAAAAACATAATGGAGTTTGATTTTCTTGGAGATTTTAAGGAGGAATTGGTGATGGTTCGGCCACCATGGCTAAGCCTCCTTTAGGAATGAGCTTCTTTCGCCAATGCAAGTCACATGGCGATTCAAACAAGAGTGAATGCAACATGTTCTGTTTGGACTGCATCAATGGCACGCTCTGCTCTTCTTGTCCACCGCCATTAGCGCATCATTCAGGTCCCCTTTCTTATGAGAGAGGTAAGAGATATAGATTGTGATTTATTGTGAGAAAGGTCAGAGTGAGAGAAGAAAAAATGCAGAGGAGAAAGAGGATAACGAGCTCCAAAGCGCAATGAGAGACCGAAAGGTGTTAAAAAAGACACAATTTCGGTTTTTCAAAAACAACAATAGGTTTGATATCGGTGTTTGAAAAA